TTGTGATTGCCATCTTAAATGCAGTTCTCAGTCATGTTTGCTGGTGCTTTTTGTACAGATAAGTTTGGACTTCCAGATCCTTTGTGAGAAAATGAGAGTTTTGATCAAAACGAAGAGCTTGGCTTATTCTTTTTAAAGGAACAAGCTTCTTCCCTAATATATATGCTAATTTACTTGTACAGTCAGCCCTAGAAATGCTTTTTGAATTATCTCTGGAGGGGTGGCACTCACCTCTGAGTTTATTTAAACAAACAAGTAATCAGTGCTATTTTGTTATAATAGAATGGGGAATGGGTGTAGACCTTGGATAGTTTATCTAATTATAATTCAAGATTTTTTTTTGAAGTTTAAAACTTTTCACGGCAGTTCCTTCCTGTATATGTAGTTGAATTGAATTAAAGCGTTTTCTCTAGTGATGGAGAAATAGAGGTATATAATAAAAATATCACAAAAAGTATTTTAAAGTATTCACTGATGATTCATTATATTATTTTTTGTTAAATCACCCTGGAAATTTATACATGCTGCATTTCTACCAGATATATTAGCACTAAAGTCATTTTTCTGCCTGATGCTTTCACCTTTCTTCCTTTCTTAGATGTGTATATGTGTCATAAAATGTATGGCAGAGTGTTAATTTCCAGGCAATTTCTAATCGGTGATTTATTTACTAACCTGCAGGGACAAAAGGTTTGTCAGCCAGTCGGATTCTCTCTCTTAAACCCTGGGCATTTGGTATCCTGCTGGTCTTCTCTGTGATATGTTCCATCCTGCTTAGTAGAGGCACAGTTATCTAAATACATATTTAATTTCCATCAAATCTGTAAATTATGTGAGGATGTAACTATTGAAAAGGACTTGGCAGTTCAATTAATAAAGCATCTTTTAATCTCAGATAACTTTCTCTAGGATTCTATTTAACTAAAATTGAATTTAACAATCCAAATGTATTATTTGAACAGTTAAGGTTTGCAGAACCTTTGTTCACCACTGTACCCTCAATACCTAGAACTGTGCCTGGGCATATAGTAGGTACTCAGTAATTTATTTAATGGTTAAATATCCATTTACAATGAAGAATAGAAGCATTGTGATAGTTGTACTTTATACCTAGATAATAGGCTTTTTTGAAGATCTCAGATTTCTTCGGTTTGTTCAGCCAATTAGGTATGAGTATAAAGATGCAAAGATACGTTCCACATCCTCATCCATTTTTATCGATTCAACCAATATTTATCAAGTCCAGTTGCTTTGTGCCAAGGCACTGTGCCAGGAGTTGGGAATACAGGAGTGAGTAGTCATGGCCCCTGCCCTCATGGTGCTCATAGTTTGGGGAGCAACAGGTAGGAGCAGAGAAGGGAGCTGGGAACTGGGATACAAGAGTTGTAAACCAGTCGGTGTATTTATTTGACTAGCAGAATGTTTTTGTTTCTTTTTTCTGTTGCTGCTCCCTGCAGTGTCACGTAACCATTATTAATCTGGTTCCTATAAGGATTTGAGTTTATGACCCTTGGCTTAGAGTATAGTGGGAAGACTGACATGCAGATAATGAGATTGTAATGTGAAAATTGTCATAATAGCCCCATGTACCAATTGCAAGGAGATTTTAGGGGCACCAGCTCTTTAGTTAAGGAAGTGAAGAGAAGCACCATGGTGTGGTAGACAGAACTGGATGAAGAATTGCAGATCCAGCTTCAAATATGTGCCCTTGGCCGCATGGCTTAACCTCTTTGGTCCTCCAACTGTTGATCTATAAGTGAGGGCGTTGTGTCTAGGCTGTGCTCTGCAGAGCCTTCTCAGACCACCCCCACCCCCACCCCCCGCCACCAACCCCAAACCAGAGTATCCCTGCCTTTTCTCTTCTGCAGGTTGGACATCACTGAAAGATTTTGTTTGAGAAGTGAGTTCCTCGGCTAAGAAAGTTTTGAAAATATGTGGACTAGATGATTTCCAAAATCCCTCCAGGCCTAGCATCCAATGATTGTTAACTTCTAATATTCCATGCATATTCACTGTTAATATGCCACCAAAACCCAAAACAAAACAAACAGAAAACTTATTGTCAGGTGAAAACACCTTTTGCCCCCACAGAGGGTCATTTGGTTGAGATGAAGGTCACACAGAAGGTCCATGATGATTCAGGTTCAAAACCCAAGAATTGTAGAGATTAGCCTGAGCAACATAGAGAGACCCCATCTCTTCGAAAAATAGAAAAATTAGCCAGGTGTGGTGGTGCCTTCCTGTAGTCCCAGCTACTTGAGAGGCTGAGGTAGGAGGATCACTTGAGCCGAGGACTTTGAGGTTGCAGTGAGCTATGATGATGTCACTGCACTCTGGCTTGGTCAACAAAGTAATACCCTGTCACCAAAAGGAAAAAACGAACAAAAAAGCCAAGAGTTTTAGTTCTTTATAAACTATTATTTTTACAGTGGTCCCATATGGCAAAGTCTCAATTGCATCCTTTAAAAAACCTTTCTTATACCTTCTGAAGGACTTTGCAGAGTCACATACTTTATGTTGTTTTGATGTTCTGTATTTCTTTACATTTCCTTCCAGCTGTCGTCACTATCTAGAATATTTATGTAAAAGTATACTGGAATTGTTTGAGAGCATCTTTCCCTGCATACTGTTTGTTCCATCTTTTCCCACTTTTCCTTTGTTCATGATAGATCTGATTATTGTGGAAATAACTGTGATCTCAATGAGCAACAGGAACTATTTTCACCATCTCTTGCCAGGAATTAGGCCCAAGGGAAGGGAACAAACCTCAGAAGGAAAAAGGAGACAGTAGACGAAAGATTGCATGAACAATTGTTTAGCATTTGTTAGGCACGACCTTACAAATTACTTAATCCCTTTGAGCCTTAGTTTCCTCTTCTATAAAGTAGAGATCATAATATCTCCCCTAGAGCCTTGTGAGGATTAAAAAATGTAAAGGATGTAAGTGCTTAGCCTGGTATTTGGGCTACTGTAGTCACTGAAGTTGGAATCTCTCTTTCCCTTTTTTCTGTACTGTTTGATGTACCTTTTCTCCTTTGGAATTTTCCTTCCTTCCTCCTTTTCCTCTTTCTCATGAATATTTGTTGAACACCTACTGTATGCCAGGTATTGCTCAAGGTGCTGGTGATACAGCAATGAATAAAACAAAGTATCTGTCATCAAGAAGCACACGTTCTCGTGTTTCCTGCTAAGATACAATCACCATAATGGACTAGTATCCAAAATATATAAAGAATCCTTAGAATTCATTAATAAAAAGACAACTAAATTTAAAATAGGTAAAAGATTTGAATAGATGCTTCTCTAAAGAAGATCTGTGAATGGCCAATAAACATGTGAGAAGATGCTCAATGCTCATTAGTCATGAGTGAAATGAAAATCAAAGCCACAACGAGATAACGCGTCACACCTACTAGGATGACTATGATCAAAAAGACAATAACATGTTGGTGGGGATATAGAGAAATTGTAATTCTTACATATTGTTAATGGGAATCTAAAATGATACAGCTACTTTGGAAAACAGTGTGGCAGCTCCTCAAAATGCTAAACATGAGTTACCATATGACCCAGCAATTCTGCTCCTAGATATCTACCCAAGAGAAATGAAAACACAGCCATATTAAAACTTGTACATGAATATTCATAGCATTATTCATAATAGCCAAAAAGAGGAAATAACCCAAGTGTCCGTCAACTAATGAACAGATAAAATGTGGTATATCCATAAAATAGAATATTTCTCAGCAATAAATAGGAATGAAGTAGTTACACATACTACAGCATGGATGAACCTTGAAAAGGTTATGCCAAATGACAGAAGATAGTTATAAAAGACCACATGTATGGTATGAGCTCATTTATACTAAATGTCCAAAAGAGGCAAATTTATAGAAATAGAAAATAGATTAGTGGTTGCCTAGGGGTGTGGGGGTGAGGTGTGGGAACAGGAAGTGGGTGATAGGAATTGACTGCCAATAGGTAGAGGTTTCTTTTTGGGATGGTGAAAATATTCTAAAGTTATAGACATGGCTGTACAAGCTTGTAGGTGTACTAAAAACCATTGAATTGTACACTTTTAAGTGGGTAAACTTTATGGTATGTATATTATATCTGAATAAAACTGTTAAAGATATAGTTTTTTAAACTTTTTAACTTGTATCTTCAGACATTTCATGGGTTCTTTCTTCTCAGCATGTGAATATGCTCTGGCCTCCCATCCTAAAACAAAACAGGACAAAATACAAACCCCTCTGTAGGCTCCCTTGCTACTTCCATCCCATGTTTTTTTCTTCCTTTCACAGGTAGGACTCCTAAAAGTTAGAAAATGGTAATTTAGAAATAGTTCATTGTAGAAAAGTTAGAAATTAGGGATAAGCAGAAAGAAGAAAACTGTTGGACATTTGATATGACTACCCAGAGATAAACATTACAGTATTAACATTTATATGATTTTAACATTAAAAGTTGATATCTTGTGTTTTTATTTCCAAAGGGGGGAGTACTGTTATAAGGAAAGGTTTGTTAAGTTAGTATACTGAGATAGAACATGGAATATTTTTTTAAAAGATCTTAATCTGCTGTAATAACACCAAGCGTGGTGAACTTTTATGCATGATTTGAATTTTTAACTTAGGAATTGTCTAAATCAAATTTGAGGTCATTAAAACCTAATGCTTTGGAAGCATTCACACTTATTAGACCATGCGGATGGAATACATAATAATGCCTTTTAGGCCACACTTGTTACATGGCTTTTGCTTAAGCTACAGCTCAATATCATAAGAGGATTTCTGTCTTAAATATTTTAGAGTATTTTAAAGCACCATGCCCCGTGAAATAAAAATTTCATGGATTCCATTTGGTTTCTGTGGATTGTTCAAAATGTCTGGCTGATGTTGGCTGTGAATTAGCATGTCAGCTGACAAGATGGTTAGATTCCCTGCTTCAGAATCATACTGAGCTAATTTCTTTGGTCTTTTCTCCGTTTTACTATACAGAGTTAGACTGGCTGAGCAACCCAAGCTTTTGTGTTGGATCCATAACGTCCCTGAGTCAACAGACTGAAGCAGCCACAGCCCTTGTTTCTGAAGGGTCACCACTGACACGGTAGTTTTTTTGATAGATGGGTTTTAGTTTCTGTCAGTATACTGTCGATAGCTTAGCTTAAAGATGCTCCTTAGAAAACCCTGTGATAAGAGAGTTGTGTAAAACTTCCATTTACTTAAAGTAATGATGTGATCTTTGCCTATTTTCCCTTACCTCACTCTTACAGATTATTCCTTTTTTTTCTTTGCGTCGCAGCGGCAAGTACGTGACACAATTAGTGCCTATAATTAGGCCGTGAGGGAAATGGCATCATTGTGATTCTTAAGTAACTTTACTAACCTCATTAGTAACCCTTCGAGTATTGTAATTCAGATATTTCTTTAGCTGCATTTTCAACACTTTTGTAAAAATAGAAGGAGCTCATATAATATAACATAGGATAAAATCTCATAAAAACATCAGGGAAAGCAAATTGGCACACATCTCTACCCAGCTGTGAAAGAATTTTGTTGTAGATCATTGAACTGAGAAATATGCTGTCTCACAAATATAGACTAGATGGTCTCGTTAATCGGGTGAATACCCTGGGAAACTCTGTCTAAATGTGTAAGAAGCCTTTAGAAATTGAGAATAGTTGATGCGTGAGAGGGAGTTTTATAGATATTTCAGTAAGGAGGAAGAAGAGCTCGTTGTCACATTTAAAAACAAAGACCACAATGAAATCTTTTCTTCCCCTTTTTGCATTAAGCACATGTTGGCATAATATGTGGTATGGAAAATAAACCTTTTATAATGTTTTAAAAAACAATATATTTGATAAAATAATGGGAGGTTACTTTCTTTTAAATATGTATAAATATGGAAGTGTAGATTTAGAAACTATTAAAATTAGAATTTCTTCACTTGTTTTTATTTTCAGTCCAGTTCTTAAGTCTTTATGGTGAGGTGTAATCCAGGAATATACCGTATAATATATGGGCAAATAGTAGATCCATGTGAACATTCATGGAGTTCCTTATTACATATTTATTTACTCACTTATTTACATATTATTTTCCCTACTTCTCTTTGGAAAATAATTCTAAAGTTGACTTTCCCAAACAGGAGTCCTCTGAAATCAGAGCCTTCAGATGAAAGTGACACTAACAAAAAGGTCAAACAAGCAAGCAGAAAAAAGAAGAAAGAGAAAAAGAAGAAGAGGAAGCATCAGCACCAGAAGAAAACCAAGAGAAAACACGGGCAGTCGAGCAGCAGTGGATCTGAGCCAGACACCGATTCTGAAAGGGACAAGCCTCTCCGCAGCATCGGAGGCAGTAAAAAGGAGTCTGAGAAACTGAGGTACGTCTCTGTTCTCAAATACCTATGATTATTTTAAATCTTGAGTTTTTCTTTCTTGATCGTTGCCACAAGTTAGACGTTTGATTGATTATTTAGCCAATCAATCAAAAGAGAGCTCTACCATTAGATCTTTAAAAAGAAAAGAAAAAAAATTAGGGGCATGATTCCGTTTGAGAAATGTTATGTAGGCACAGTAATGATTATGTCAAAATCTGATTCAGACAAAAAGTCTTTGAGATTTTTGAAAGATGGCAGATGCGCCACACAGCGGGTATGTGGGTCAGTGTGCTGCGCAGTTAAGGGTTCCATCTCTGAGGGCTGCTGGCCTCCACACTTAACAGAGAGTAAGAGAAACATCTTATTCCTCTTCCTTGATATGTCTTTCATTCAGTCACTCCCGCCCGTTCCTGTGTGTACACATGCACACATACTCTTCCGTTAAGGTTAATGTAGCACTTAAATAATTATTGCTTTTGTCCTTTTCCTTTTCTTTTTCACATTTTTTTAGTGTTAAAGGTGTAGAATAGCTCAAGACCACAGTATTTCCCTTCCTTGGGGGCTTGATTTCTCCCCACATCTTACTCTGTTGTCTACCTCGAGCATATTGTTCAAGTCATTTTGCAGAATGGTCACAGCATAGGTACTCATTATAGCTTTTTCTGTGTGCTTAGTCTAACATCCTCCTACATACAGAGAGGCATTTACCTGTAGGTGAGACAGGTGATAGTGATGAAGCTACCTGACTTCATGCTTATTTACCATTTTTCTTTTCTTTGGTCATATGGGCTAGAAGAGAGAAAATTTAAGTATCTGTCCAGAACATCCCTAAAAAAAGTAGTGCTGTTGAGATTTTTGCAACTCTTCAGGGATTATTTACTTTTGTTGTATGTTTAGAAGTCCCACTGCTGTCAATGAGAGCTCTGTGTTGGAGCAAGTCTGGAACCCAGCCCTCAGTGTTACCATCAGAGAGGCAAACACTGCAGTCTTCCGGGATCGCTCTGTCATCAGATCAGCGTTGCAGAGCACTGCAGGCCTCTGCGGCAAAGAGGAGCCAGATTTATTTAGCCCTCTGTGTATCTCAGGTGTTATACCTGTGACCCGAGCTTGTTCTTTGGAGGAAAAAATAAAGGAGTCAAGCAGCAGGTTCTGAATTTGACTGAATTTATGAGGGCAGGAACCATGCCTTCCTTGCTTACCACTGTAGCCCCCCAGGGCTTGGTGCACAGGGCCTGATACAGAGTAAGCACTCAGTGCGTTTTTGTTATATGGATGAATGAATGAATATATTATTGGTATCTTTGCTTTTTAGTTTGTCTTTCAAAACAAGCTACTTTAATTCTGTCTTCCGAAAACTCACCTTTTAGCTACTTGTCCTTTTTTATAGCTAAGGAAAGTGAGTTTTAAAGGACTTCTGAAACTGTATATTAATAGAAACTGTCATTAGAACTTGAAGGATAGTTCATTTAGGTTTATGCTTAATCACACCAGAGGGGATCTTTACAGCCTCTTGAGAGTTTTATGATACAGAGAGCATTTTTAAGTTTGTTGGTATTTTGCAGAATATCCTTTTTAAGATCAAAATAAATTGTTCTTTTACTTTCTTGCTGTTGACTTCTGTAGTGTCTTCCTGGGAAAGTGACCTGGAAGGATTGTTTGTTAATATTTCCAAATAGACAAGGACTAAGATATTAGTGAGATTTCAGAGTCTTTCCATGATGTCAGGGAAGTGGGTTCCTGGAGGGTAGCATACCATACGGGACTCTATTCCAAGGTGACAGGGATGACTTCCCCAGAGGCCATAACTACTAATTGACCTTTGTTTCCCGGGTTGGGCTTTTCTTTACCTCAGGTGGAGGCTGAGCCTTCCTTGCCATCGCCCAGACCACATCCTGCTTCCTGACTTCAGTACCCAGTAGAGGAGGGAAGAGGGCTTGTTTACTCTTCAGGGGTAGTTTGCATCTGGCCTCCTTTTTTTCTCCCAGTTGACATTCTATTTCTTTCTGGAGTGCATCAATCTCTTCCAGTGGGCCTTCCCTCCTTTTGCTGCCCCTTACAGTTTTTGTAGACAGAAAACCCTCCACAGTTGTTCTGAAAGGGAATGTGTTAAAATCTTCATATATTTTAACCCAAGACTCATCATTCAACAACTATTTATTGAGTAGCTACTTTGCGTTCTTGAAATGCCATTCCCTTGTATTCCCTGCCAAGAATGATTTAGAAACTTCCAAAATCTTTATTTGTATCTGGGCAGAGCTAAAAAGCAAAGATGGAACAATAGTTAATGGCTGTTTTGACTACTTTGGCAGCTTCTTGTGTCAGCAGCATTATGAACTGATTTTCTTTAGAGGAAGAATGATGTTAGGTGCCAGAAAAACCTTCCATCCCTCTCACTTAACGCCTAGGGAAGGGGTTTCTTTTGTATCCTAGCTGAATGTCTTCCAGCTCACAAATTGATTCAAAGAGATAAATTAGGGTCTTGTCTTCCAGTGAACTCTCATGGTTCTGCCCTTTATGTAGGCAGTGCAGTTGCACGGGCAAAACACCGTGCATGGAGTCCAGGCGGTAAAAATGAGACTGAAACCAAGCCCAAGTCACACGGCGCAGGCTGAGCAGTTCAGAACTGTGGCTTTTTTAAAAAAAGTTTTGAGTTGGAATAAAGTATCTGAGCACTTTCAGGTAAGTTAGGTGAAGTAAGGGCAGCTCAGTTTAATGTCAGTGCTGTCACCTTTTGAAAGTGTGGTAGTTTCCTCTGCCTAACACTCTAAAGTACCTCAGAGCAGGAATATTTTTTAGGAAAAGTTCTTGTTTATGAATATATTTGAAATTTCAGTTACAGTCATTTAAATGAAATATTTAAAAAGAAGACCAGTATTTTTCCGGTCAATTTCTAAGATGACTTCTTTTCTTGGTAAAGTGTCATTTAGTGGTAACAGGTTTTGCTTTATATTTTAAAACTCTTTTCTCCGAGCCAGGAGTCTTCTTCCCACCTCTATGGCATGTGCATATTTTACGTACTTAGGTGCGTTTGATGCCATGTAGGGTTTGAAATGTTGAGTGTTCATATTGCTTAAAATGTGAATTATGTCACAGGAAGATTTTTAAAGTGTCTCTCCCTTTTCCTTCTTCACCTTACTTGGTCCCACAGTCAAGGAGATAATTTTGCTGCCGATACTGGACATCGCTTTGTTTGGCTTGAGGACGTTCAGGCTCAGACGGGGGAAACCTTCAGAACAGATAAGAAGCCAGATCCTGCAAACTGGGAGTATAAGTCTCTCTACCGGGGGGATATAGCAAGGTATGCCCCATGTTTCCCCCTGATCTTCACTCTTGGGAAGTAATTTCTTTCTCCTCTAACTCTCTCAGCACTGTCTGTTTGCCTGTCTCCCCTACTCTACTGCCCCCTCACAGCGTCTATTGGATTTTATTTATTGTTAAGTTGTTTAGGCATGTGTCTCATCTCACATTCTAAAATGAAAGCTTAACCCTTGAGATCAGGTCAGATTAACCTTTTGTTTTTTTTTCAGCACCATGGGGTTATAGCTATAGATCAATCTTATTTATCCCTGGTGCTTGGCATAGTGTCTGGCATAGTAGGTGTTCAGTAAGTATTTGTTGAATAAATGAATCTAAAAATACCTTATAATAATTAATTGTGACGGAGTATCTAGTGACTATTTGGTCTAACCTATACGTCATTTTTAAAATTTGCAAAAGCCTTTTAGTTGCCCACCCCCCACATATGCCATTGAAAAAATGACATTTAATGGTAATGACTTTTTCAAAATGTTTTCGGCATATACTATCAGATAATCATAAAAGTAGGTGGTGGTATTTGCTTCAGTAATGAGTTTGAACTTTTCCCCTCTGTCAGTCAAAAATGTTTGGGTACTTATTAATCCCTTTAGACACTTAGAACTTTGTAAGAAACTGTTGGGGACATAAAGAACAATAACACACAGTCTCTGTTCCCCAACAGTTTACAGGTAATTAAAATTGAAGGTTGAGAATCATGGATCCTGGAAGATAAGGCCAAGAGGAGATCTTGAAGATCATCATTCTTGATAGGCTAATTACTTTGTAAAATAAATTTCGGTTTCCATTACCTTGCTGCATGTCCAGATTTTAGTCATATAGTCAGTCACTCTGATTGTATACGACACCACATAAACAATTCCAACTAAAATTTCCTTTACGATGAGTTAATATGAGTTGTTTTTCAGTGAATGTTTAATCTATATGCTGTCAACTAAAACCTCAGAGAATAAATGACTATCATATTTCAAATGTGTTCATATATTTTTAAATTAATTTTAATACTCCCTGAAGTCTTGTTTGGTTTTCCATGCCACCACAGGGTAGTGCCACAGATATGGTCGATTACCAATAAAAGATGGGGAAGGCAACACTGATTGGGCCTGAGGTATGTGGCCATAGTCCTGTGTTTGTTCTTTCACTTATGTTAGCCTGTCCGATCCTCACAGCTGCTCCGTGAGGAGGAGGAGGAAAGCTGTCTTCATTTTACCAGTGAGGAAAAGGAATCTGAGAGAGGTTAAGTAACTGCTCAAGATTGTGCAGCCAGGGAGCAGCAGGGCTGGAATTAGAACCTGTGTGCCTCTGACATCAAGTGTTCTTTCACTGTCCACAAATAAAGATGAGGTTGGTTGTGTGATAGGACATTATCTAGATTTGCAAACAGAAGACTGTGGTTGTCATTCTGACTTTGCCATTTCCTAGCAGTATAATCCCAGGCAGGTCACCTGGACTGCCTGAGCCTCGGTTTCTTCATTTGTAAGTTGTAACTCCTGCTATGCCTTGCACTCAAATGTCAGAGATATTTGGTATGGAATTTGAAATTGATGTGCAAATATAAAGGATTATTCTTTATTAATAGATGAAAAAAGGAGAAAATATTAACAAAGAGTGGCTCTTGAGTTTCTGCTAATGAATGGCACAGGCCTTAGGAAGGCAGTAATTAGAAATAACTTAATCTAAACTGCAAAGATACTACTATTAAAGGGCTTAGCACTGTTGTGATTTCCTAGTAACTTAATAAAGTTTAAGTGGGACAAATCTTGCCTGGATTAGTAGCTGTATAAGTGTAGGTGTCCAGGTCCTGGAAGATTTTGATCCCATGGCATTCTGGGCTGGTCAGAGGACAGTGGGAATATTGTGGCAGGCACAGAATGTTCACACTCTTAAGAGGGCCACTGACAAACCAAGAGAGAGCATTGAGAGGAAGATGAGCAGTCACTTACAATTTGACTAGCATGGTCATATGAGGACTAGAAGAGGGGTTGTGGATATTTGGCCGGTGGCAGGGATTTGATCATTGTCTTTTAAGCTTTGTTAGACTGTCCCTTGGAAGGTGGGTTGAGAGTGTTCTGTGTGACTTGTGAAGGCAGAACCAGGACTAATGAGTGGAAGTTCTGGGAATCAGATTTGGCTCAGTATAAAGCACATCTTCTACTAGTGTGAGCATCTCAGCAGTGACACTGTGTGTGTTGGAGTTTGTGGTCAATGGGTGTTAGGTTCCACAGTTAGTGTAGAACATGAAAATTATACAGAGTCAAAATTACCTTTGGGAAATTCCTTAGGACTAATAAACTGTGAAGTTCAGTTCAGTCAGTTTTTTCTCCATTTTTGGAATAGATTGTTATTCTTTGGCTATATACCAGATAAAATAGTTGGCTTAGTTTAGGAGCCAACTTTTATAAAATAATAATAATTTAAACTTATCTAGCCCTTACTATATGGCAGACACTCTCCTAAGGACTTTCCATGTTTAAATTTTTTTGACAGCAACTCTATGACATAGACACTGTTATCATCCCCATTTTACAGATGGGGAAACTGAAGCACAGTTTTTTTTTTTTTTAAATAACTTGATCAAGGTCACCCAGCTAGTTAGTGGTGGAGTTGGGATTTGGACCCAGGCAGTCTGGCACCGTGAGGGGCGTGTGAGAATGAAAGCCACCGAAGGAAAGGCTGAGTAATGTTGCCCTGTCCTGCTGTCTCCAGGGCGCAGACCCACTGGGGGAATTCAGGGCAGAAATGTATTCTCCCTCTTCCTTTCCCCCTAGCCCTGCCCTTGGTGGCCAAGTGCCTGTAGCTGCATTCATTTAAATTAAATGTATGTATGTTATCCACTGAACTGCCAAAGAAAGTGGTAGTTCCTACTTTTGGAATTGTTCTAGCCGATTATTTGATAAGGATTTTATAGGAAAAAGTGCTTTCATTTGGGGGAATATTGCATTAAATTACATCCTAAGTTCTAATTATTAATGTCCTATGCAAAGTGATGAATTGGATACAACCTAAATGCCTAACAATAGGGAAATGGTTAAATAAATTTTGGCACATCCATCCAATGGAACAATTCGAAGCCAATAGAAATTGTATTTTCTAGGACTAATTATATGGGGGAAATTATATCAGATGAACTATCTTTAAAAAGGATGTGTGTATGCATATGAATATACGCAGAAATACGTACAGCGTCTGAAAGGAGATAATAAGGGAGGCCAGTAAGATTCTTTTTTCCCCCTCCCTTATCATTTATATCTGATTTGCTATAAACAATACAGCTACTGAAGTCAGAAAACTCAGTCAACACTTTTAAAAGAGATTATATGAATCTCTAAAATACTGTACATTTTTAGTGAAACTGAGGAATCAATACTATTAAGATAGTAGTAATTAAGGAGAACAAAACTAGTTAGGTTAAAATTTGTTCCTTAGGGAACGACAGGCTTATTTAGAACTACTTTAGGACTGTTTTATCTCGTCAAACCTTTGTTAAGGTTGTTTTTGACTCATAAGTGGAGTGGTGAGAGATTATCCTGCGGTAATCTAGAGAGAATTGGGAGGAAGGATAGAAAAAAGGTTTGAGAGAGAACTTATGTGTATGTGCGAGAAAATGTTTCTTCCACGTGGAATTCACTGCACTGGAGCAGTGTGGGACAAGGCAGGCAGAGGCTGCCTGTGGGCAGCAGAGAAGCCACAGAGGTGACAGGAGAGAGCCTGTGCTTGTGCCAGCGTGAGGTGGAGGTGACAGAAGGTGGAGGCAGCTCTCCCCTGCCTTTTTCTCCCCACAGCATTTTATTAGGAAAATTTTCAATTTTCAGCAAAAGCACAAATAATTTGACAGTGAATGTCATGTACACATCCCCGCCATTCTGCCAGGAGCTTTGGACTGTGCCTGCTTTATCACTTACCTGCCCATCCATCAGCCCTTCTTTTTTTTGATGCATTTCAAAGTGAACTGCAGACATCAATACACTACCCGCCAAATACCTCAACATGCATATTATTAACTGGAGTTTGATATTTTTTTAATTTTTTCTTTCAATTTAAAATGTACATACAGTATAATGCACAAATCTTCATTCTCTGAGTTTTGGTAAATGTATATACCTGTATAACCCAGACCTCTATGAAAAGATACAGTATTACTCTGACCCCCAAAACTTTCTTCATTCTCCTCCCTGGTCAGTCAATGCCCCACAATCCCCAGAGGCAATCACCGTCCTGATTTTTTTCTACCATCGATTAGTTTTGCCTGTTCTAGAATTCCACATATGTGGAATCATACAGCGTGTACTCTTTTGTGTCTGGCTTCTTTCACTCAGTGTAATGTTTTTGAGATTCGTCCATTTGGCATTTATCAGTAGTTTGTTCGTTTTTACTGCTGGTAGTATTCCATTGTATGGCTGTACCACCGCTTGTTTATTCCTCCTTCTATTGATGGACACCGGGACTCTTTCCGGTATTTGGCTGTTAAGAATAAAGCTGCTGAGAACGTTTGTGCTCAAGTCTTTGTGTAGACATTTGGTTTCCTTTTTCTTGGGTAAATACATAGGCATAGAATTGCTGGGTCATAGGGTAGGTCTGTGTTTAGTTTGTTAAGAAACTGCCAGACCTTTCCCAAAGTGATGAACCAGTTTAGCTTCCCACCAACGGTGAATGAGAGTCCTGGTTACTCCACAGGTTACTCACCAGCATTTGGTATTGTCAGTCCTTTTAATTTTAATTAAAAACCATTCTAGTGGTTGTGTGGGATACCTAATTATGATTTTAATTTGCATATCTTTGTTGACTAATGATGTTGAGTACTTTTTCATTAATTGGCCATTCATGTCTTCTTTTGTGAAATTTCGGTTCAGATCTTTTGCCCATTTTTTTTTTTTTTGCCCATTTTTTTAAATTGAATTGTTTGCTAACATACATGCAGAAAAATGCACAATTTTCCTTAGCAAAATGCCTGTGCAAATATTCAGTAGTCATGTGTTTGTAACTCTGGGGACGCCTACATGTTCCATAAAAGCATTTTAGAACCCAACCTCTTTTGCTGTAGAGTAGAAAATAACCAAATGTAATTTAATTTGACATACTTTGTTTCAGGATTAAAAAAGGAATCTTAGACCTATGTGTTATTTTCTTAAGTAGGGACACAGGACAATATTGAGAAAATAGGACTGGTTGAGGAGACAGGTGACCTAGGTTCCTAGGTCTCAGTGTCCTTGTTCCGTAACAGTGTAAAAGAGAGGATGATAATTTCTGCCTCCCTGTCACATGTGGCTGTGATGATCAAATGACATAATGTGTGTGACAGTTCCTTAACTACAAAGCTCCAGGAAAATAGAAATTACTAAGATCTAGAAGACAGGCATGATCTTAAATTCATGAGATGTTAATGGAGAGTTGAAGTGTTACAGGAAGAAGTCAAACCAGGTGGAAAAAAATTAATTGCTAATCCTTGTGTGTCTCTAAATAGAAACAATTTGAAGGTGAGGCGTATTTGTATATATGCAGTTAACTTGCATAACAAGAGTTTAGGTCTAGTGACCCTTCAGTCATCCAGAGGTAGTGCACATATTCCCTCAGTAACTTTTTTTCTTTTTCTAATATTAGATACAAGAGGAAAGGAGACTCCTGCCTTGGCATTAACCCTAAGAAGCAGTGCATATCTTGGGAAGGGGCTTCTGCTGGGAAGAAGCATTCACGCAAGCAGGTGGAACGCTATTTTACGAAGAAGAACGTGGGATTAATGAACATCAGCGGAGTTGCCGTTAGCAGTAAAAGTGAACCTCCCTCATCTGAGCCAATTTCATTTATCCCAGTGAAAGACACGGATGACGTGGCTCCTGTAACAACCTGGTTGAATCCTCTGGGCATTTATGATCAGTCAACTACACAGTGGTTACAAGGACAGGGTCCTCCAGGGCAAGAAGCAAAGCAGCCAAACTCACTGCCAGACAGCGAGAATGCAGTTCTCAGGGCCAAGGTGGAAGAGTTTAACAGGAGGGTGCGGGAGAATCCTCGGGATACTCAGCTGTGGATGGCATTTGTTGCTTTTCAGGTAAGTGTGGCTGTTCTGGTTTGATACCTTAGCATGACCTTCCTGATTTTGGGCAAATTGATTTACTTGGCAGTAATTTTTTTACTCCTATGAGTGCACTGGATGTATAAAGATTATTAGAATAGAGCTCTTGCCCTGAGCTTGTTCAGAGTCCAATGAGGAAGACTGACATGTGAAGAATAAATGCAACCTGGGGTAGTAAGTGCTGTCATGTGTCATTTGGGAATGGAGTGAGGGAGGAAGAAAGGGCTGCCAAGAGAAGGTGAAATTGGAACAGAATCTTGAAAAAAGAGATGATTACCAGGCAAGGGGAGACAGTTCTGAGTAGAAACAGAACAGGCAAAGTGCACTTGTGAAAGAGAATGGAGTGCCCAGTAAATTGCACAGTTACGGTGATGTGCTCCTTTTCTAAAACATAGGGATTTGTCTTAGTCCCTCATTTTGAACCACTCATACAGTTAACCATATTTTGTCATACATTTGGCTGTTTCATTGGTAAGGCTGCCTTTTCAGAAAAGGTTTTCAAGGCATCATCTGCTAGTTATTGATACATAAATCTAAGTTTAAAATGACAATGGACAATCAAGTGAGATAAACACAAGACCAAATATACTAGGTGACACAGGTACCTTAGGAACCGAGTTTTCATTAAAAGAAATTGTGATAAACAAGTGGTTTAAGAAAGTCTAAATAACATTTCCATTGGGGGTTGTAAGTAAATCTACTGTTGAAACTTTGAGGACCTCCTAGTTCCGTTTGCATTTGTAAATTGTTTTTGTTGTTGAGGACGAGGTCATGAAAAGTCCTGGCCTGTATGCCATTGAGGAAGGAGAGCAGGAAAAGCGGAAGAGGTCCCTGAAGCTGATTCTGGAGAAGAAGCTGGCCATTCTGGAGCGGGCCATCGAAAGCAACCAGAGCAGTGTCGATCTGAAACTGGCCAAGCTGAAGCTCTGCACAGAGTTCTGGGAGCCCTCCGCTCTGGTCAAAGAGTGGCAGAAACTGATATTTTTACATCCCAATAATGCGACCCTTTGGCAGAAATACCTTTTATTTTGCCAGAGCCAGTTCAGTACTTTTTCAATATCAAAAATTCACAGTCTTTATGGAAAGTGCTTGAGTACTTTGTCCGCCGTGAAGGATGGCAGCATCTTGTCTCACCCTGCACTGCCTGGCACGGAGGAGGCCATGTTTGGTAAGGAGACGACCAGATCCAGTTACGTGGGGGGAGTTATACTTTGACTTTACTTGAAAATGACAATTTATTTTTGGTTTATTTTAGCAAAGGTCTAAATTGTCTGATAGAACTGATTTTTTAAAAGACTATTATGATTCATTGATTATTACCATATTTCTCCCCCGCAGCTCCTGTGGCGGGTGGGGGGCATTAGAGCCAGTAGAGTTAGGAAAATATCACTGGACAAGAAGTTCCAATTTTTCAACTTATTAACCAAGTAAACGTTAAGTCTCTTAACTGCTTTGGTGGTTGATGTCCTTATCTGTTGAGATGCCTGTACTTGTCTCACCTAGTTACAGGGTGAAGGCAACAGTGTACGTGAGATGCCCTGACTGGGAACCACTGCACAGATATGTTATTGGTATTATGTTGTTGTTACTATTTTGGGGGTGTCCCAAAGGAGCTTAGAATATGAATGTAGGCAGTAATGAGATATAGGAGACAGCAAGTTCTGCAGGAGCCAGAGAATATCACTCTTGAGCTTGAATCCTTGGTTTGCCCTTCATTGGCTCTCTGTGACCTTGGACAGGTTCCTTAATCTGTGTGGGCTCCAATTTCTCCATCAGCAACAATGGTATAAACCTGCTTTAGAGGACTATTACCCACATTAAATGATACAATATATGATGAGTCTAGCTCATTGTCTGGCACATAGCAGGCATTTATTTGATTAAAACCCCTGCTACTGAATATTACTATTAGTGTCTAAGATATAAATATATTACTCTAGAAATAATAAGCATTTATCACATTTATGTCTCACAGTTGATATCATTTGTTATCTCAAATAGCTTAAGGTTATTTAGTAATGGAATCTTATCATAAGTAAGATGAACTGAAATGTTCCAATATGGAACCTTGATTTGTTTACAGCAGATTCTGAACATTTGATGAAAATTGCTGGTGCATGATGCCATCTAGTGATCAATTGAATACAGCTCTTTGCTTTCTGATAAAAATCTGCTGCGCCATCCTTTTCCTTTAATTTTTCTTGTAATACTGAGCTTTGAGTATTTAATTGTCAACATTCAGACCAACCTATTGACTTATTTTTATGTACCATAGTTTTTATTGTTAATATTTGTATTCTATGGTGGTTTCATACAAAAACTAGAATAAACATACTTGGATCACAATACTATTATGAGTCCTTTTAAATTAGGACATCTGTTACAGCTTTGTAACCGTAACAGTAGTTTCAAGTGAGAGATGTTCTCTGAGTTGGCAGTTCTGAGAAGTTACATTCTTTCCCTTTAATGGTACCAACAAGGATTCTTCCCCTTTTGTTTGCAGCACTCTTTCTTCAGCAGTGCCACTTTCTGCGGCAGGCTGGCCACTCGGAGAAGGCTGTCTCCTTGTTTCAGGCCATGGTTGACTTCACCTTCTTCAAACCCGACAGTGTCAAAGATCTGTCTACCAAAGCACAGGTACCAAGCTCTGTCTCTGTCTCTCTTTTGGGGGGAGGTGAGAGGTGTGGATACTGGCAGGTGGTGGTAGTAATTTAAAAATGTATCCTCCTTTATATCAGTCCTGCTGAGGATGATTTCTCAGAAATACTTCAGTGATCCCAGGAGAATTCCATAATGAAAGTAATGAAATATGGATAGATGAAAGCAGATTCCCCCTGCCCCCAATATAAAGACTTACTGATGACCTTTCTTTTCTTTCCTTGGTTAAATGCTAGTTATATCTACCAGTCAGATAAACCATTTTCGTGCCATTTTAAACCACATGTCACTCTCCTCCACCCTTGTACATTCTAGTCTGGGTCTTATGTCACTTCCTCAATTAACCTTTCCACTACGTAAAATCTTTGCTGGAGTTGCGAATGAAATAACATGCAGGTACCCTGTCGATACCAATCCTAACTGAGGAGGGGTTAATGTTTTAGATCACAATCGCACATTGCCAATATTTATTATGTGAAGCAATAAAGAAAACCTTACAGAGCTGTTCATATAAGAAAACCTGTCTTTTCTCTTTTTCCATTAAAGAAAACTTAGTTTCTTACTCTGGAAAGGGGGTCTGGTGGAAGATGGGTAAACTGAATTTATGGTGAACCATTAAAAGTCTTTGAGAGGCCAAGGTCTCTTCATCACATGGAAGTTTCATGAATTGTCAGTAACAACTTTTTATGATGCTACCTCTAGACAAAATTGGATTAAAGAATATGCCAGTTAATGTTGGCATAATTATTAATAAGCCAGATAAAGTAGTTTTAAGACATGCTTTAATATTTTAAGAATATGCCATGCTGCAGAAGTGATTCTTAGGTGACTTTAAGGAGTCTCGTGGTTCGGGATCAGATTCTCTCTCATCCCCACCCCTTCACTGAGACTCACTGTCTGTGATGAGAGCAGTTACTGATGGGGGCGAGGGCTCTGCCCACAAATGTGACGCATTGAAGACCACTGCTCTGATGCACGTCCTTGAAGTTTTAAATGCTAACAGCATGTGTAATTCCAAAACTCACATGACAGCTTTGAAATAAAGCTTTTTTTTTTTCCTTCTTTTTAAGACTAGTCAAGTGCAGTAGTGAGAAGCTGGGAAAGTAGTAGAACAAGTTCAACCTGTAACTGACTGTGAACAATCAAGTGAGATAACTCACTACCTTCGGACCAGCCTAAAGCTTCTTAATTAACAGTATTCTATATTGCTTTTATAACTGGGAGACATCGTTACCATAAACATAGTA